TGAGGACTGCGGAGATGGGTCTGTCAGGTTTCGGGTGCGTGCTCAACAAAGTCTGAGAGGGCTTCAGGTTCGCGAAATTTAGAGCGCACGTTTCTGGACTTTCGTGATCGAAGCAGTTAATTATTTGTCATAGAATATTTGCGCATCTGTTTTGCGTAGGTGTGCATTGTCATTTTCCTTTGTGTATGTATGTATGTTTTTTGCGATGTTATATACGCTACACAAGATGTATGAATGGTATTGTTACATGTTAGGGTTCGGGGGGCGCAACGTAGATCCTGAACCCCAGCTCCCGCTTTCCCGCCCCAAATCCTCTTCGGACAGGACGATGTGCCTGATAGCGCACACAGCAGCCTGGAAGCATTAACGGCCGGCCTCTATGGTGCGTGGGGTGCGCGGTACGGCCGTTGAGCAGCAGTTGCGGCAGCTACGCAGCTACACCCACACCCTGCCCAAAGCATCCTAAAAAGCGGCACTCCCAAAAACAGAAAAAAGAGCCGAAAGATAGACAAATAAACAAAAAAAAGTCCTACAGCTGATCAGGCTCCCGGAGTTTTCGGAACACTGTGTCCCCACGCTTCATGCGCGGCCTCCGGTTGCCTCCTCTAGCAACTCGGACTCTGGAACTGACGGGCTTGGGGGATGCTTTGGGGATGTATAGGCTTTTCAGGGTCTGGGGTTTAGGGTTTAGAGGGTTTCGAGGGTTTATTGAGCTGATTTGGTGAAGAGTCTGGGTTCAAAGTTCAAAAAGGGGTTTCTAGAGCTTAGCAAAAAGGGGCGGATGTTCTCATGCTCATATGGCCCCAGCACCGCTCCAGGGCACATGGCGTACAGGCATCGATGGGAGTGCAATGGAGTGCATGTAACAATGGAGCAATTTAAACATGTAGTAATATCACTACATAGGAATGCAATAAAGTAATACAGTAATATAGAAATATATTAATACGGGGACAGCATCATATTAGTATTAGCCCATTGTTCACCCTCACAGCTTGAGACCCTAACTCTCACGTCTTGTCTCTGCGCCGTTGATTCATCACCCCGTCCTTTCTAGCGGTTACAGTATTAACATGTGTTGACAAGGAACCCACTTTCGGGACCCAAACGACAGTTCAAGTTCAACCGCCAATAATAATACCGTACCGCCGTTCCTTGAGACCCAAACTCTCATTTCGTGGTCTGACCGTTCACACCCCTAGAATCGCATGCCAGGTTAACCGTGTAAAAGCCTATGTCTTGTTCACCGTCGTCACCTTCATGTCTTTCATATTATTACCAGTGAGTCATCGAACGAGTGCGCGGAGTGAGTGAAAGAGCGTACAGATGGCAGATATATACATCACTTACACAAACACACATACACACACACACACACATATACATATATATATATATATGCATAAGTATAGCTTTTGTGTATATGTATATGCATATATATATATATACATATATACATACGCATGTATACAGATATACAACTTATACAAGATAAAATACATATATACTCCTTGCGAAGCTGCCCCGTCCGACTGCGAAACCCTGCGTCTGACGCCAAGGCCCAGGCACAGGTGGAGGATGCAGGCTTGAAGCACTTGCTGGAGGAGCTGTTGGGGTTAGGGTTTAGGGTTTAGGGTTTAGGGTTTAGGGTTTTAGGGTTTTAGGGTTCTAGGGTTTAGGGTTTAGGGTGTAGGGCTAGGTACAAGTAGTGTGATAAGTATGGGAGCTATACTTTTTTGCCAGACTTAGGGTACTTATAGCCCTACTTAGAGCTACCCGTGAACCTCCAAGTAGGGTTTTGAGTTCAAAAACACATTGAGGGTTTAGAGCCCAAGGGCCGATTCTCAGACTTTATAGATTTAGGGGTGTCCGTTTTTGCGCAAAAAATAGGACCGCGGCCCAACATCTCAAGGGCGGGGTGTGCCCAACATCTCAAGGGCGGGGTGTGGGTGCGGCCTCGCAAGTCGCGAGTTCCTGTAAAGGTGTAGGAGTTTAGGGTTCTTCAGTTTCGGGTGATAGGCTAGAGGCTTTAGGGTTTTCGGGTTTAGGGCACATAGTCGCTGAGCGCTTGAGCGAGAGAGAGAGAGAGAGAGAGAGAGAGAGAAAAAGAGAGAAAAAAGAGAGAAAAAGAGAGAGAGAGCGAGCGAGAGAGAGAGAGAGAGAGAGAGAGAGCGAGAGAGCGAGAGAGAGCGAGAGAGAGAGCTAGAGGTAGAGAAGAGAGGGGAGAGACAGAGACAGGCAGAGACAGAGAGACGCAGCAGAGGCAGAGAGAGTTGGGACGTGCGGGCCCCTTGGGGGAGCTCAGAGCTCCTCTTTGGGGGGGGGGGGGGGGGGGGGGGGGTTAAGCGTGTGGAAAGAGAGAGAGAGTGGGACAGAGATACAGAGGGAGAGCGAGACGGAGAGACAGAAGGAGAGGAAGGTAGAATCTGCAGGAGGCCTGGATGCAAAAGGGCACTTGTCGCCGAGTGACACTAGTGAATCCTACTTGCCTGGCCTGAAGCATTGGAGCTGTAAGAGATATGCGGGTTTCCGAAAATAAGGGACCTCAATATGGACCCCCAAATAGTAGGATTCCCTTTTCATAAGGCCCCAAATAAGGCACCCTACCCTGAAATTGCCCTGAAAGAGCATTGCCAATCTCCTACTAGTTGCTTAAAAACCCCCCCAAGCACATGAATCGATTCTTCCTTGGCAACGTAGATATTGCAAACTTTCATTGTTTGGTGTTTTCTTAGTCATGTGCCTCATATCACATACATATATACATATATATATATATATGCATCATGATAAGGCGGCCCCTAATATCTGGCTAAACCCTAAACCCAAACCCTGTAGTTTCACTACGGTTAGAGGGTCAGTCCCGATATTGTGCTGGTTCACAGAGCAGTCGCGCTCAGTTGCTCAGATTCAGAGATAGCGCCGAGTCAAGCCTAAACCCCCAAACCCAAAACCCAGTGCAAGTTCAGAATTAAGACTACTTAGGAGTAATTCAGCCTACTTAAGGTTATTTAAGTGGGGAACCTAGGGGGGGGTGTAGTACAGAGGGGTAAGTAAGTAGTAATTAAGCCTACTGAAGGTTTTTAAGGGGGGAACCTATGGGGGGGGGGGGGGGGTTACAGAGGGGGGTAGTAGGGAAAACCCATGAAAGTTGGAGGAGATCCCCAGCAAATGGTTCCTGGACGACCAGCCGCGCGGCCTGCACAAGGGGCCGACTGGAGGTTTCCTTTCGGGTTTGGGGAGTTAGGGTTTAGGGTTTAGGGTTTAGGGTTTAGGGTTTAGGGTTTAGGGTTTAGGGTTTAGGGTTTAGGGTTTAGGGTTTTGCCAGCCCAGATGGAAGAAAAGAGGGGAAACCCTGAATCAGTCGAGCCGGGGGGGGGGGGGGGGGGGGGGGGGGGGGGGGGTGATGGGGGCTCACAAGCACCCAGCATAAACCTTATTGCTTAAGAACCCCCCCCCAAAAAAAAAAAAAAACACAACAAACAAAAATGCATGTTCCCTTTATTACCTTATATGGAAGAATATATGTGTGGGTGCTTAAGCAAATAGTAGATAGGCATTGGGTTCGGGCGGGGTCTACTTGGAAGCCCTTTTTGACTTAGTACGTGTATTTAGTATCCCCTAGAACTCCTTCTCATAATCCCCGTAACTTGGGGAACGTCCCAACATATAACCCAACTTACCAACCCTACTTGCATAAGTCAAAAGGGATTCCAAGTCGGGTTTTGGGCGGCAAAAGTTCACCCAACCCAGGGGGCCCCTCGCGTAGCAGGACACTGAACACTTTAAGCCCTGAAACCTGTACCAGACAGAGAGAAAGAGACCCGAAACCCCAAACCCCAAACCCCACACCCTAAACCCTAAACCCCTAAACCCTAGGAAGCCCGTAGCCAGACCAGAAAGAACTTCGAGGAAGTTCTGCCGGCGCGAAGTCCTTGAAGAGAACGTCATCGATGCTGAGATGCTGAAGAGAATCGACTTCTTCCGTAGCTCCGGCGGGCGTTTTAGGGTTTAGGGTTTAGGGTTCGGGGTTTAGGGTTTAGGGTTTAGGGTTTGTGTACTTGGAGGTTCATGGGTACTTATTAACGCCAATTCTATCTGTACTTCATGTCCTGGCTTAACAAAAGGTTCCGGTTGGGATGTTCCCCCTTATACGAACAGTCCTTAATCGAGATTATTGTACGCCGAGTACAATCCCTACAAAGGGCTATGAGTATAAGGGTGAACATCCCGAGGTCCAGGGTTTAAGGTTTAAGGTTCAGGGTTTGGGGCTGAGGGGGTTTCGGGGTTCGCCCCTGGCTTGTTTGGGGTTTAGGTCTAAGGGTTTTTCGGTCTGCCCTGCTAGATTATAGGAGTTCAACCAGCGCCCAGACTCACAACCTTAATCTTAACGCTACGCGACCCGCCTCCACCTGGCCCAAGGCAGCTTCCACCCGAGGCCTCGACGGATTGTAGGGAACGTACAACCCCAAGCCTTATTGGCATCAATTTCCCTGTTGCATACAAATATATCTATATATGTATCTAGATATACATATATATATATATATATATAGAACTCGCAAAACAGACCTGGAACCCTAATGTCCGAACCTCCGACGGGGCCCTGAAAAAGTCCTCAAAGTTTTGTTTGCGTGTGTTCCCGCTTCATCAAGCCTCCTCAGGCAATTTTGGGCCGGCCTTTCTCGATGAGCTGCTGAGCAGCCCTGAACTGTGGCCTCGAATATGGTGCAGGGTTTAGGGTTCAGGGTTTAGGGTTTTTGGTTTAGGACTCAGGATTAGAGGCTTCCATACTTCAGATCGCCAGAATGCCCTAGGGTTCAGGGTTTAGGGTTTAGGATTCAGGATTAGAGGCTTCCATACTTCAGATCGCCAGAATGCCCTAAGCCCTGAAGGGTGAACCCTAGCCGCCTGAGCTTGTCGGGGTCAGTGCAGGCTGCCGCACTGAGTGCCACGATAGTTGCCATCATCATTGTTAGGGTTCCATCGCTGCTGCGGCCATGATTCCTCGAACTGCCGTGCGCCGCTGTTGGGACCTCCCAATTCCCATGAATTCCGAGCATGTCGATGCTTACCCTTATAGACTTAAAGTTCCTTCAAACCTCTTTTAACAGGACATTGAAGAGGTCTCGCTTACCAGCCCAGAGCCACCAAGGAGAGCATCCGCAAGGTGCTGGTGATGCCTGGCACAGTACTCCTGCGCCAGGGCACCTCCGGGGACAGCATGATGGTGGTCTCCAAGGGACCCTTGACTTGCAACCCGAAACCCTCAACCCTAAGCCCTAAACCCTAAACCCTAACCCGGTACTTAAGCTTGGTGGCCGAGTGGTGCCGTTCTTGCCCTTTTTGGGTTGTGGGTTCCCTTTACAAAGGTAAAGAGCACCACAAAGGGCACTCTTATGTTAATATGGTTACGGAGCCACCAAGTCAGCACAGCAACAGTAGATTCTGTTCACAAAGTACCCTAAACCCTAAACCCTAAACCCTAAACCCTAACCCCTAAGCCCTAAGGCCGAAGCCGGCAGACACCAAAGCAGTGTGCTGGTGTAGTTGTGCATAATAAGTTGAGCCGTAACTCTCTATGTGAGTGTTACTGAGCGAAGCTGGAATGACATTTGAATGATGTTGATCAATTTGGGTTTCTTTGTTGAGTTTTTGTTTGTTGTTGTTGTTGGGGTTTGTTCTTTGTTTGAATAGGAAATCTCAACCGGAACGATCGAAGCTTTTTCCCTCCAAGAACGACAGACTCAAACCCTGCTTGCGGTTTGGCCAGCTATCCGGAAGCAAACGAAAAACAACCTAAGCCCTAAACCCTAACCCTGAGCCCTAAACCCTAAGCCCTAAACTCTAAGCCCTAAACCCTAAACCCTAAACCCTAAACCCCAAACCCTAAACGCTAAACGCTAAACCCTACCCTTAGCGCCGAATTCCGGGCGCAGGACGCGTCGCTGCCTCGGTAAACGGCCGTGTCGTGAAGCACCTGGGAGAAGGCTCCTACTTTGGTGCCCTTGCGGCAGCAAAGGGCTTTGAGCCTTGCGAGCCTACTTAAGGCTTGAGAGGGTTGTAGTTAGGGTTTAGGCTTTAGGGTGTAGGGTGTAGGGTGGATAGCCCCCACAGTCCGTTGCTCAAAAAGGGTGTAGGGTTTAGGGTGTAGGGCTTATGTTGTAGTTTAGGATAGGGTTTAGCAATGGGGTGGCAGAGGGGTTTGGGGTTCAGGGCTTCGGGTTGCCAAAAGGTCGTGGGCTTGTGTTTGTTGCGGGTTGTAACGGTATAACTGAACCCACTTATAAGCCCCTTAAGTGCCCTGACATGGTGATAAGTACAGTTGTAAATGCTTATTAAGTACCATGACATGAACCTCCAAGTAGGGCCTACGTGGAGAAGCGATTGCCAGGTCTCCCGAATGCGCAGTCCATTCGAAAGGGGAGGTTGGAATACCCTTAAGGCCCTAAATCCCTAAATCCCTAAATCCCTAAATCCCTAAATCCCTAAATCCCTAAATCCCTAAATCCCTAAATCCCTAAATCCCTAAATCCCTAAATCCCTAAACCCTAAATCCCTAAGCCCTAAACCCTAAGCGACAAACCTGAAACCCTAAACTCTTAGCAGCACAGAACTCTGGGCAGCCCTTTGTACCCCTGAAACCTGAGAGCCCAATTCCTACATCTGCTAGGGAGAACCCAACTTAGAGTGCTTCTTACTTGTACCCCTAAGGGTCCAGCAGGGAGAGGAGTTTAGGGTTTACGGTTTAGGGTTTAGGGTTTAGGGTTTCAGAAAGATTTAGGGTTTAGGGCTTAGGGCTTAGGGTTTAGGGTTTAGGGTTTAGGGTTGATACCGCCCCAGAAAACACCGCGCAAATCCAGGCGAGCTGGTGTTCTTAGGGGCGAGCCTCGTTCGGACCGCCACGGTGACTGCGACCACATTCTGCGACGTGCGGATCATCTACAACCGGAGCTTCAAAAGGACCCGCCAGCCCTAAAGCCTAAACCCTAAACCCTAAACCCTAAACGGCCCCTCAACTCGAAGGGGAGCCGGCCGAAACCCCTATGTTGTAGCCCTAAAGGTTCCCCTACTCCTAATTTGGCCTTTATACTGCCTTAAGGTTCTCTATAAAGGGTCCCAAAAACCCAAGGGTACAACCTTAAGGGTCCGAGGTCCAACCCCTAGATGTTTGTTGTGGAAAGATCAGGGCATGGCTCAGACTTTGGATACCGGACCTGATGCAGTTCGAAGGCTTCTGCTCCCGTGCGAAGGAGTGTAGGGTGTAAGGGTAGCACTTTGTTCAAAAGGGTGTAAGGGATCAGTATATATACATGTACATACACATATAAGAAAGGTTTAGGGTTCACGGTGTGGCAAAGTGGTAGCAAGATGTGAACCCCTGCACCATCATACCCGCCGTCAGGATCGCAGAGAAGTATCCCGAGGCTTGGAAGGGTCACAGGGTGTTGTGAGGCCTCGACTGTCGACTTGCGTGTTTCACCTTCCTTGCCGTGAACTTTGCCATGCCAATGCATGAGCAACATGTACTGCGCAGTATGCCAGCCAGGATATTGGTTTGCGTTCTGATTCGCTTGCTACTAGGTTTCGCTGGTAGGCTGTAAGTTCGCCGTTGTCGGATGTGAAAAAAACCCGGAAATTAGTCAGTGGGATCACTTTGACGAGGGCCCGCGGAATTGTGAAAACAGATCGGGCGATGCGAAATTTCGGTGAGGCTTTTGAATAGAGTTGTTGTCCTGATTTCGCCTCTATACTGTTCCTAAGCAAAGGCTTAGAGCCTGAGAGACAGACCAAAGCTGGTAGGGTTTGGATCCAGCCATCCCTTTTGAAATCATATGGGTCCTTGTTAAATTCGTAAACTCATTCCGTGCAACTCGTAGAACGCCAGACCCCCCCCTCCTCCCCCCTAAAAGGGGGGGGGGGGGGGTCCAACACTATCGTTTCCCTTGAGCTTGATGGGGTTTGGCCCAGCTCGGATGCCAAAAAGGGCTTAAAGCAATTATTCAATTTGGGTGCTTTGTGGTTCTGGGTCGAGTGCAAGTGCATCGGCTGGTGAGGTACAAGCCGCACTCAACAAGTTTGCGCTCGCGAATAACGACCCCGGACTGAATGCCAAGGAGGGCAATCTGGGAATAGGGTTTAGGGCTTAGGGTTGGCAGAGGGTTCTAGTAACTTAGTAGGGTTTAGGTGTTGCAGGATGTGCATACCACCTTCTTGGTAATCACAGGGCTGGAAACCGCGTGCCAGGTCACATCTTACGGAAATACATAAGCAGGCCCATGGAACCAACCACTTACTACAGAACAGTCCTAGAGACACAGTCTGGAGACCCCCAACCTCCTGTTTATCCTTCCGCTTTTTTTCTTACCCGGGTTTCTTGATCTTCCGCAGTAAAGCGATGTGCCGTTCCTAACCCCCGAACCCTACACTGGATGAGATCGAAGTCAGGTCGTTTTTTAACTCCAGCATGTGCCCAGCAATGCGTCGTGAGTGGCAGATCGGCACGCAGCAACAACAACGAAGCCAGACCCTATAAACCCAACCCTGAGTCCAAAACCCTGAACTTTGGACCCCCGTGGCCCCCGGCAGGCTGCAGGAAAGCTTGGCCGCGCGTTGGCAGACGCCTTGGCGCAGGTCTTTCAGCTCCTCACCTGCGCGGCACGGGTTTACATCGGGTTTAGGGTTTCGGGGTTATGGGTTTAGGGTTGAGGGTTCAGGGTTTAGGGTTTAGGGTTTAGGGTTCTACAGTAGTCTTGGTCAGGTTGTTGGGTCCGGATTACAGTGATGAACTCGGCTTCGGACCCCAATAGCAAGTTCAGATTGCCTGAGTTCGCGGGCGGGGTTGTTCTACATTTCTTCCGAATCCGCTTCCGTTGCTGGAGCTCAAAAAGACACTTCCTATATGCAGAGACATACAGGATCGATATCGCCATTGAACTGTATCTGCTGCAAACTCAGCTGCTCAATGGTGATAGTCGTTTAATATCGAACGAAACGAAAAAGACTAGGAACATAATGCCCTTCAAACTAAAATAACGTATGGGGCGCCAATTTGTTAAGGACTTTTGGTGCACGTAACAAAACCAAACAGCGGTGTAAACATGCTGTAACATTGGGCTCTTCTTGTTCACGCGTTCGCTCATGAATTTCATGCATCTCGATTACTCCCTATGAAATCAAAAGTGGTATGTGGTTTTTTTGGGTGCCGACAGGCAGCCCGGATTCGCGAGTCGAGACGCGCGACCGGGATCCTAGAGATAACGATACGAAGAAATTGATGGGGAAAACACGCTGTAACAAACTCACAACGCATGACAACTCCGAATCACCAGCCAAACGTGCACGACACCGCTCCCAACCGCGTATACAGCCCAACCTACATGGCGAGTTTTCTAAACCATGGTCCCTTTTTGGGCTAAGTAAGAGGGGCCGCCTTACAAGAAGGACCCCAACAACCCTAAACCCTTAACCCTTAAACCCTATAATTGAGAATCCTCCGCATCCTTCTCACTATCGAAATCTTCAATCCGCATCCCTAAACCCTAAACCCTAAACCCTAAACCCTAAACCCTAAACCCCGGCATTCTCGGTTCGCCTCTCAGAAACCATCTGTGCATCTGCAAGTTGGAAGCTTCAGGGTTTAGGGTTTAGGGTTTAGGGTTTAGGGTTTAGGGTTTAGGGTTTAGGGTTTCTTTCCGGCTTGGAGCTCAGTCCCGGGCTCAGGGTTTAGGGTTTAGGGTTTAGGGTATAGGGTTTCGGGTTTAGGGTTTAGGGTCCATGTACCTAGGCAAGGAATACTTGGGCCTTAAAGCATTTGCTGCATAGGGACTATTGGGGCCCCCAAGTATATAGAATAATGAAGGACATGGTTTGGAGTTTAAGGTTTAGGGTTTAGGTTTAGGGTTTAGGGTTGGGTTCAGGGTTTAGGGTTTAGGGTTAGGTGTAGGGTTTAGGGTTTAGGGTTTTGGATCCCTCATCCCTTGACAACCTCAACCTTGAGTAGACCTGACTCTAAAACAACTTCTTGCCGGTTCATGGCTACTTTTCACCCCAAGCATAACTGCGCTTACAAGCCCCCTAAAGTCCTCTAAGTAGGTTGTCCGAACGTGACAGAATCATATTTTCTCAGCAGGCTGCCAGGATCTGCTATTTGAGGACTTCAGCGCGCCTTACAACCCTGCGAAGCCAAATCAAAGCTTGATGTTTGCGGTTTGGGCTTTGGATGTTCCCCCTTATACTAGCAGTCCTTAAATTGGGATTCTAGTACCCTCTATTATAATCCCTATTCAGGACTGTTAGTATAAGGGGGAACATCCCGTCTTTCTGGTCTAGAGAAAGGTTTAGTTGTAAAAAGGTCCGTCCTGCACCCTGGTCCCCCACTTGCACTTCCCTTGTTGCGGCGCCTCGTACTGTGGCCATAAAAATGAGGCGTGTGTGCAAGGAGCAACATTGCAGCTAGAATGGGGGGTCTAGGTAACACAGTGACACAGGAGCCTACATATATCAAAAAAGGACAATCCACTACCCAGAGCGCATAAATGGGTCCCTAAGCCCCTTAAACCCTAAACACCCTAAAACCCTTGAAACCTAATCCTAAACCCTGAATCTCCAAAATCAGGGTCTCGGGTTTGTGTCCCAGCTAATTAGGAGCAAATCCCTGAAACCCTACACCTACACCCTGAATATCCAAGTAGGTATCTATCCCCTAAACCCTGAACCCTAAACCCTAAACCCGAAACCCTAAACCCTAAACCCTAAACCCTACAGGGTATCGGATTAACTTGGGTTTCCCAGCTAAGGAGCATACATGAAGCCCAGCCGCTTGGCAAGCCATGGCTGGGGTGGGGCTAGTTGCTTGGGGACTACATGAACCCTAAAGGGGGGTTTAGGGTTTAGGGTTTAGGGTTTAGGATTTTGGGTTTAGGATTTAGGGTTTAGGGTTTAGGGCTTAGGGTGTAGGGTGTAGGGTTTAGGGTTTAGGGTTTTTGGGTTGGGGGCTCCATAGGCCTGAATAGGAGTTATAGTAGTGTAGGGTTTATGCCCCAATTTTTTGGAGTTCATGTAGTCCCCAAGGTTTGCAGGGTGTAGGGGTTACGATGTTTGGATGTGACACCCCTGTTCCCGCAAGATGTTCTTGCCTAAGCCCTAAACCCTAAACCCAATTGAGCAGCTGTGAGGAACCCTCAACCCTAGCGCCGCCCCTGCAGATTGTTGAGGTATATAGTAATTATTATAGTATCTTGGGGGTGGATTTATGAACCCTGCACCCTACACCGGAAGGGGGAAGACTGAACGTGCTGTGGCGGACATGCGGTGCTGGCGCCAACGTTTGGGTCAGCTTGGGCCGTCCCAGGGACCTTCAGGCTGTTTGGGGTTGGGGTCTCAGGGGCCGGGTTTAGGGTTTAGAGTTTAGGGTTTAGAGTTCAGGGTTTAGGGTTTAGGTTTAGGGTTCAGGGTTTAGGGGTTGAGGGTTTAGGGTTTAGGGCTAGGGTCTATAGGGGTTAGGGTTTAGGGTTTCGCGTTTTAGTCTGCCATCTGAGGAAGAACGCTGCGACACGACTGACCTTAGGCTCGTCCCCACGCAAGGTGTTCAGCCTTCCGCATGCCAAGAACCAAGCCAAGGCATGACCAGCAAACTAGGGTTTAGGGTGTAGGGTTTAGGGTTTAGGGGTTAGGGGTTAGGGTTTAGGGTTTAGGGTTTAGGTTGGGATGTTCCCCCATTGCATTAATAGTTGGTAACGGGGATGAGAGGCCCCCCCCCTATTCGAATTCCCTATGACGGAGTGCTAGTATAGGGGGGAACATCTCAAGGTTTAGGGTTTAGGATTGAGGCCCCCCTTTTGAGGGGGTCTTTGCTACTTAATTAAGTAAGGCTTCCTACCGCCGTGCGGAATCGTGCAGTTAGTTGCACCTCTTGGGGGAGGGGGTTAGTTCAGAACAAGCCACAACTAAAGTCTCACGCTCGAACTTAGCCCGTATTCCAAATTCCACTAGTGGCACCAAGCCGCGAGCTGCTTTGTTTCGAGGCGAAGCTGTAGCTGCGTTCCCAATGACGATTCCTATTCGGTAGTTCCCACAGAGCCCAATAGCCCTTAATTAAGGAATATACCTGAAATCAGATTATATTGAGGAGTACACCTTAGATCGGACTAGGGATCCTGTTTGTATACGAAAGGTCTATTCCCTTAATTCAGGAAGATAGTAGTTTCAGGTACATTTTGGGATGTTCCCCCTTAAACTAACCGTCCTGAGTAGGTATCATAGACTGTAGTACCCCCCCATTATCGTCCCCATTAAGGGCTATTAGTATAAGGGGGGACATCGTAAACCCTAAAACGTACACCCTAAACCCTAAACCGTTAAGGAGGTATTGGGAGCTCTCTGGGTTGCCTCGCATACAAAGCAGAGCTTTTGCAAGCATCCAATGTTTTGTTTGGCCTCTCTCTTTCTCAGGGTAGTTGCATGGTCCCTTGATGTCTAAGGGTTTGGGGTTTAGGTTTTAGGGGTTTAGGGTTTAGGGTTTGGGGTTTAGGGTTTCTGGATCTGAGGGTAGTTGCATGTTCCCTTAACAGGGTCCCTTGCCTTCTTTAAAGGGTTCTTAGGCATGGGTTTTTGGGTTGTATGGGGTAGGTAAGGGGTATTTCAGGCATCCCCCTCTGAGAGCCCATATTAAGGGACCATGGAACTACCCTAAGACTCTTGGGCAGGTCTTAAAACACGCAGACCTCCCAAGACCATCACGGCCTGGTGCTAGCAGCTGTTGCCGGCAGAGGTGTTTTGCCCAGCTTTCCCTTCAGCTGTTGCAACCTAAGCCCTAATTCAGCTAAACCCTAAACCCTAAACCCTGTAGCAATTCAAGGCTGTGGTGGAGTAGAAGCACACAGTAGGCGAGGTGGGGCACGCAGCCACCCACATGCGCGTCCAATGTTCCACATGGTCGGCTTTGTTTGGGGGTTTCCGAAATTAGGGGTACTTTATTGAAGTCCTTCATAAGGGAATCCGACTATTTGGGGTCTATATTGGGGGTCGCTTATTTTCATAAACCTCCATTTGGGGGAGTTGTCTTGCATGAGCATTGAGGTAAAAGTCGTCGCGGCAGGCATTCCATCAAATTCGAGCAGGGCTGCAGAACGAATCGCTCAGATGCAACGAGTCCATAGGAAAGGGTGCAGCTTACGCAAGAAGCATGTCGAGTGTTGTCTTGTTATGTCTGCTCATGGAGCGCTTGTTCCATGGGTAGCTGAATCGACCAGGAGTTCAACGCGCGTTTCAGGGGTGTTTGGCCATACTGTCCGCACCTCCACCACAACATGCAGTGGCTGCACAAGCTCAACTACCATAGCAGCTTCTGCAGTCATGAATGCCATAATGCGGCGCACTTTTCAAGCAGCAGATCATACTATAATGGGGGCTCCTTTTTTTGGTAAATCCCCATACTACACGGAAGGCCTTGCCACGAAATCGCTTACATTCACGTTGCTCCCACGTTGCTCCAAGCAGCCGCCAGCATGTTGAAGGAACTGGCGTTTGCCTGCTCATTTCTTAAGAGCCCCCAACAAATATGAAATATTCTTATAAGGGTAATATGGGGATTATGAATTCTTATAAGGGTAATATAGGGATTATTAATTATACGGGTAATATTGGGATTATTAGTTCTTATTCTTTTGGGGTTCTTGAGCAAGTAGGAGTTTGCCTGCTCCTGCTGGCCAAGCCACCAGGGTTTAAGAGAAGACAATGCATCTCGATAAAATGCGGCATTGCTGGGAGGAGGGTTTAGGGTTTAGGGTTTAGGGTTTAGGGTTTAGGGTTTAGGGTTTAGGGTTTAGGGTTTAGGGTTTAGGGTTTAGGGCACCGATTCTGGGTTGAGGAGGCCCCCACGCAGTCCAGAAAAGGCATCAAGCGCACTGGGTCATGATGCTTAGGTCTATAAGTCGTGCAGCGTTTGAGAACAGAAGGCTCATTTAAGGGGAGTTAGTTAGGCCCTAATCGAGTGTTATGAGCGGTTAATAACTATGCCTAATTGACGCCACAAGGTTTGCAATTGGGTTCTGCACTACGCAGGATCCGTCAACGTGCATGCGCTGCCAGAAGTTGGCTTGTGAGCACCCTCCCTAGGAAGTTAATAGCCTCAATCGAAATGTTCTGGAAGCGGCGTTGCGCTTTTCTCGGTCTGCCACCGCAACGTGAGTTTGTGGCTTTTCAGTGATGGTTCCCATGTTCTTACGTCCCTTTGTTGGTGCAGAACATGCTGGTAAGCACAAGCAGACTCAACAAAGACATGGTGCCAAAAGGCACGACACCGAACCCGTACACAGCAATGTGTCAGTAGCAGCAGAGACAGGAAGTACCACAGTTTGGGGTTTGGGGTTTAGGGTTTGCACCACGAAGAGCAGCCAAGGATGACATGGTTCTAGCTCAGGTCGGCCGTGGTATGCCGCCGGTAGTCACTCTCACAAAGAGGGTTTAGGGTTTAGGGTTTCCGCACTGAAAAGTGGCGCAAGTGACGGCAATATTCGTAGCAACTGCACGTTGCAACACAGCGCCAGCACCTGGATCTCGAATGGAATGGGCGGCAGACCTTCTGCAGAGGCTGTGGCTTTGGCGCCGATATGATTCTGTATTGAATACGTAGACCGTAAACCATAAAAAAGGGTCCCCAGTCATGCTGATTGAGTGGGGTATTCGTTTCTAAAAAGCGCATCGACCCCCAAACGACCCTTAGTCGGTAGGCAGGGCAGGGATAGTGAGGACCCTTTGAGAGTTAAAGAGCTCGACATCTTTGAGCATGGGCTTTTGTGTGGGTATCGATTTTAAGGACCCGCCGGATCGAATGTTTCTGGATTTTACGGGGTCGCGTTGAGGCCAGGTCCTGTTGGAAAGGTCAGCTCGCTCTCCATTGTGCACCTATATGGCTTCAGTACGAACTGGCTCTAGAACCCCGAAAAGAATAAGCCTTTTCTTCCTCAGAAAGGTTTTTGCAGGGACTATTTTCTTCTACTTTTTGCCAATAGTAGTTCAATTTCGAAGAAGAGCCCAGGTGAACCCTGGATTTAGCGTTGGTGACATCTTGCAGCTCCATGGCACAGGAAGGAGATGGGAAGGCACGCAGCTTAGGGTTTAGGGTTTAGGGTTCCTAGGTCATGCAGTCCCAATAAACTTCCCTTCTGTGTCCCTCTATAGTTTTACAATCAGCCCCACAACCCTATTGTAATTATTGATTCCCCCATATTACCTCTGCTTGGGTCGTTCGATCCGTGGTGCTGAGCTGCTGTGCCTTTGAGGACCACATGAACCCCATAAAACTGGGATCATGTAGCCCCTCATGCTACTACTTGAATCCCTATGAGGGCAAGATGGGGACCATAAGCCCCTTCTAGGGGTTCATGTAGTCCCCAAGGAGGTTTCGGGTTTAGGGTGTAGGGTTTAGAGTTGAGGGTTTAGGGTTTAGGGTTAGGGTTTAGGGTTTAGGGTTTGGGGTTTAGGGTTTAGGGTTTAGGGTTTAGGGTTTAGGGTTTAGGGTTAGGGTTTAGGGTAGTCCTGAAGGTTGGGGGGACTTGAGTCGTCCCCTTTCGGAAGGAAACCGGAGAAGGTTCGGGATGCAGCTTGGCCCTGCCTGTCTCAAAGTTCTGAAGAAGGTCCCACCCTAGGCCGTAACCCAAGACCCTTTTCCCGAAACCCTGCGGTCAGCCTACCCCCCCCCCCCACCCCCACCCTCCCCCCCACCCCCCCCCACCCACACCCCCCCCACCCCCACCCCCCGCCCCCCTCCCCACCGCCACCCTACACGACTACACGACACCTTGGCATGCTGCCCCTTGTACTAACAGTCCTTAATATGGACTGGAGTAGGGGGACTAATCCCAAAAAAAGGACTGTTAGCATAAGAGGGTAGCCCCTATTCTCATCCCTACTAAGGACTCTTAATCTAAGGGGGAACATCCCAAGCAACACACTGTGGGCAGAGGCCATGTGCTGGGGGCACGCGTGGCTGCTTGTCTGCAGATTAGGGGCTTAGACCTTGGGGCTTAGGGTTTAGGGCCCAGCGAACTTGGTGAGTGATTTTTTGGCGTTCCAGGACGGGCGATTATACCCTGTAACCCCTTGAAAGGCCCTTTATAGGCTTGATTCTGGGGAGAATAGGGCCTAACAGCCCGTCCTGGTTGGTTTTAGAAAGATTTTCAAGGGACGAGAAGCGAGTTCCTACATGACTTCAGCAACCTAGATCTATCCAGGCCTCATGCTCCACTCTCATTTCGGCGAAGAAATTGAATGCCTTAAGTGGACTTGTCTTGACCCCGCACATGGCGCGGCTTCATCGCAGGCGGATGCTTTGGCCCCCCCCAGTAGCAAAGAACAACGTAAGCCTCAGGATCCCAGTGTCTCTCAGAGCAGATCCAGGCACTGCTAAGGGCCTTAAACTGAGCAGCCCAGTGGCACCCTTTTCCCTGTTTGTTTGGGTTCAAGGTTCCCTTGTAATGTATACAAGTAGCCAACCCCAAAAAAGGGGTGCCCAGATTGTGGTGTTCAAGGGTTCCCTTTCAATACATAAAGTAACCAACTCCCCCCCCCCCCCCCCAAAAAAAAAAAAAAGTGCCCCTTCTTTCAATATGGTTACTGGGCTACCAAGTTGAAGGCAGGCTCTTCTGTGGTCCAGTGCGGTGCTGATCCGTGCATGTCTGGCTGGCTCATTTTTCTACAGCCTACGATGCAAAGAGCCCTATACCCCTTAAGTAAGGGGGTATGCATGAATTTATATAAAGGGATCCTGAATATGATTTAAGGTAAACTACGGGAATCTGCCTGATTTACATCAAGGAATCCTTAATATGAGTTCATGTAAATTAAGGGGATAGAGGGTATATACCTTAATTCACATAAACGGATCCTTAATCTGAATTAAGGTATATCCCTTAGTTAAGGGGTATTGGGCTCTTTGGGGATGCAGCGAATCTCAGGTGGACGTGCGCAAGCCGTGAGCCTAGTGGAAGCAGTACGCTGGGTCACACACCTGCTGCCATGACTTCACTTCTTTGAGATTAGGGTTTAGGGTTTAGGATTTTGGGGTTTAGGGTTTAGGGTTTAGCATGGGGCTAGAGGCTGACTTTCGCTTTGTGGGAACCTGCAGTCGACAGGAAACCAGGCTTCTCAGAGCGCACGGGCAGCAGTGTCACTGGCGCTCATCAGCCTGCAATCCCTACAGGCCACGGGGAGGAGGCGAGCCTTCATAGCAATCTACATCTCCCATATCCCCTGCAGTTGCTGCGTCCACCGGTACTTAGATGGACATGGGGATCCCTGCAAGCGACTGCGATACGGATGCAGATGCCCAGGTCAGATGACACCGTGTGGCTTTACTGCCAAGTTAACAGGATGTCATGCCTTCGGCTTGTGGGTTTGAAGTTCAGGGGGCGCCAGAAAACAAACAATGACTTCTGCATCTGATCCCGAATTTGTCATAATTGTGCCCTGCGAAGTGTGTTCAGCTAGGCGGAAAGGCAGCAAAAGCAACCTAAACCCTAAATCCTCTTCCGAGGAAGGTGCAGTATCTTGATGGCGGCTACAAGCGCTTCACCGCCTCAGAACTGGACAAGCTTATTGCCAAGAGGCCCAAGAACTCACAGTCCCTCAAGGACCGTCTCGGAGTTGCGTCCCTAAACCCTAAACCCTAAACCCTAAACCCTAAACCCTAAACCCTAAACCCTAAACCCTAAACCCTAAACCCTAAACCCTAAACCCTAAACCCTAAACCCTAAACCTAAACCCAGATGGGGCCCCAGGGTCCAAGAGGTGCTCTAGGCAGGTGGAGGGGGAGACCCCAGAATGGATTACCCCCGTGGAATGGAGTTTAGGGTTTAGGGTTTAGGGTTTAGGGTTTAGGGTTTAGGGTTTAGGGTTTAGGGTTTAGGGTTTAGGGTTTAGGGTTTAGGGTTCAGGGTTTAGGGTTTAGGGTTTAGGGTGCCGTGAAACGCTGACAGGATCAGAACCAAGCCTTAGGCGGGACTGGTGGCGCAAATACAAGCCGAGAGCCCAGACGTCTAGGGTGGGTAGGGCGTTGTCCGGAATGGTGGGCCTTTTCTCGTACCCTCTGCAAGAAGGAAGTGCTGTAATGGAGAACTCTTGCGAACCAACATAGGTCCTTAATTTAGAGCAGGTCCGCCCCGCAGAAATCTTACTGCTATGTCCGGCCCCTAAACCCTAAACCCCAAACCCCAAACCCTAAACCCTAAACCCTATAAACCCTAAACCCTAAACCCTAAAGCTTTTGTGGCTTGTTTCTGCTGCAGGACTTCTACATTGGCCAGCGCCTGGCCGCTTGGACCGGGTTCCGGGTTCAGGCAGAAGAAGGGTTCACAAGATTTAGGGTTTAGGGTTTAGGGTTTAGGGTTTAGGGTTTAGGTTTAGGGTTTAGGGTTTAGGGTTTAGGGTTCAGCATCTCATGTCCAAGCCTTCACTAGTCAAGCAGCTTGTCAAGCGCTGGAAAAAAAAACCCACCCACCCAAGAAACCCATAACATTGAGAAAATACAAAGTTCATTCAATACATTTTCAGTATGGCTTATAGCTCAAAAGTCCGCGCAAAACCTAAAATCTAACTTTTTGGAAGCAAACTTTCCCTCTTAAGGGGGGTCGAAGTTGGAGGAAGCTCGGTTTGAGTCAAAAATCCAGAAAACGAGAGGCCACAAAAATCCAGGGCCCCCCCGGGTGGAAAAAAACCATTTGCCCACGAAGGGGGTCAGGGTTTAGGGCCCCTCCGGGTGGAAAAAAACCATTTGCCCACGAAGGGGGTCAGGGTTTAGGGCCCCCCCGGGTGGAAAAAAACCATTTGCCCACGAAGGGGGTCAGGGTTTAGGGCCCCGCCTGGGTGGAAAAAAAACATTTGCCCACGAAGGGGGTCAGGGTTTAGGGCCCCCCCGGGTGGAAAAAAACCATTTGCCCACGAAGGGGGTCAGGGTTTAGGGCCCCCCCGAGTGGAAAAAAACCATTTGCCCACGAAGGGGGTCAGGGTTTAGGGCCCCCCCCCGGGTGGAAAAAAACCATTTGCCCACGAAGGGGGTCAGGGTTTAGGGCCCAAAGGCTCGGTTTTGATCAAAAATCCAGAAAACGAGAGCCCACCCAGAAGCGTCGATTTCAGTACTAAAAAATCGCATTTTGAACTGGGACCCGGGCCGATCCTGGGGTCCCCCTCATTTGGGGTGTTTTTGGAGGCACGGCCCAGGAAAAAAAACCATTTGCCCACGAAGGGGGTCAGGGTTTAGGGCCCAGAAAAAAAACCACATGCCCACGAAGGTCATTAGGGTTTAAATATACATAGTAAAAGAGGGTTTAGGGTTTAGGGTTTAGGGTTTAGGGTTTAGGGTTTAGGGTTTAGGGTTTAGGGTTTAGGGTTCAACCGGACCTGTGTGTGTGTGTGTGGTGGGGTGTGCACAGGCAACAAGGGTTCAGGGTTTAGGGTTCAGGACGGAGTTTAGGGTTTAGGGTTCCAGGGCTCCTAGCCGTGCACCACAGAAGCCTGTTCACACGAGATGTTCGCGACTGGTGCATTCAGGGTTCTGGGTTTCGGGTTTAGGGTGTAGGGTAGCAATTTCGTGGGCTTGAACCCTGCCAAGCGTGGAATGGGCTCCTTGGTTGGGCGCCAGCCTGTTGCGCGGGAGCGGGAGCTGTGTCAGGGGCTTACCTAAAGGCTCCGAGTAGTACCATACTCCTTTCTGGGTTAGGATGTACGGCTCCTACAACGTACCATAGCCCCAAGAACTTCCTTTTTGGGTTTGTTTTAGGGGGTTATAGTAGACGGTACTCCACTATTTGCAGAAGAACCCCAAGAAATGAAGCAATATTCTTCCTTGTAAGGGAAATAGGGGGATTGTCATCATTCTTAAGCAAATAGTAGAGTACCTTGTACTACTTGGAGGTTCATCGTACTTATTAAAACTGTGCTTATAGATGTACTTATAGCCATATTAGGGCACTTAAGGGGCTTGTAAGTGGGTTATAGTACAGATACAATTGGTTAGAAAGTACCATGAACCTCCAAGCACAACCCCTATAACTAACCCAACAAGCAGCTACATTGGAGCCTTTTGGTCGGGTTAGGGGCTTAAAATGGTTTAGGGTTTAGGGTTTAGGGCAACACCACTTTTGACGGAGTACGCAGTACAAAGTTGAAAGGAAGGCCCCCAGCCGGAACCCCGAAACAGGGAATGCCAGGAAACAAGTAGGACGCACCAGGGTTTCTATATTCCTGCTACCTAAACCCTACACCCTAAACCCAAAACCCAAAACCAGATATTCCTGGGGCTCCCTGTGTTGGAGTTCCCACAAGGTTTCCTTTGTCTAGGGTTTGGGGTTTCAGGGAAGAGCAGTGGTGAGGCGACCTGTTGCGAAAGGGTAAGGCAGTGGTAAACATGCGCTAAGCTCGAGCCAAATCTGCAACTTCTGTTGGAAGGGTTCTTTGCTCTTTTTAGGGAACTGGGCAAGGAGGATCCCTGCACAGTCCCTTAAGCGGATTCCCCAATTCCCTTGGGAAGAACTATATTGATTCAAGTATTCAAGCACAGGTGCTGACCTCAGGGCGATGGTCGTCCGACCGATTTGTTGCCATCGTGGCGCCTCGCTTGGTCGTATGGGCAGAGCTTGTCTGTTTTGCCTGGTAGCCCAGTGGTTACCCCTTCTACTTTTGTTTGGTTCAAGGTTCCCTTCTAAAGTAGTCAACCCAAAAAAAGGTGCCCTCATTACTACAATACCGGGACCAGGTTTGGCTTTACATGCTTGACAGAACGGCTTAGGAGCTCGGGGTTTTGCGGGGGACATGGCGCGCTGCAGCCCATCCCGGCAACGGCAACTGCTGGTTTGAGGTTGAGGTGGCGAACTGTTGAAGACATACCTTTCAGTAGCAGATACCTTCGCCTTACTTTGTGGCATTGTGGAATCTCCTCTTCGGTCGCACATCGGGGCATTCGGGTTGGTCGAGACATGTCCAGATGGCCCTTGGAATGTTCCGTCTTGTGTTCGACTTTCTTGTTTTGTTGTTCAATTTTGCTGTCCTGCTATTGATTGTCGGGGCTGTGGTTGCTGAACCTGAAGCCCTACAGCATCCCTCAAATGTCTTGACACACATCCCTTAGGTTTCCAGGGAATGGGTTTAGGATATAGGGTTCTTGTGCTGACCAGATCAAGCCAAATTCATACACCTTGCAAGATGACAAGGAGTACGGATTGGACAGATGAGGGAGTAAACAGCTGGGAACTCGCAGCTATAATCAGATGGATTAGGGGTTAGACAAACCCAGGGTTTCAATAGCTGGATTTTCGCAGCTGCAGGTGCGGTTCCTGCAACCCCAAACAACGCAAGACCGTCATGTGCCAATACACGGCACCGCTTAGCTTCACGGAAGCTAAGCAATGCGGGGCCGACCTAAGCAACGCAAGGACCCTGAGCAATGCACTTCATGGGTTAGAGAAGGATGAGACAGTTTTCGCAAGATTACGGAATCGAATGAGCCCCTCTCCTTTTTGCGTCTGCTCAGGTGTGCCTAAACCCCCTCCCTGAACCCAAAGTTCTAAATCCGAAACCCATGGCGCCAAGAAGCACTTCCCCGTTTAGGGTTTAGGGTTTAGGGTTTAGGGTTTAGGGTTTAGGGTCCCTCGCAGGTTGACCTTCGCCAGCTGCGTCCTTAGCACTCCATGGGGCTTACTAGAGTTTCAGCTTGTCCAAGTCTGGGTTCAGATGCAAAAAGGGTTTAGGGTTTAGGGTTTAGGGTTTAGGGTTTAGGGTTTAGGGTTTAGGGTTTAGGGTTTAGGGTTTCGCGTTTAGTGTTGCTTCATGCTTTTCGACGGTTGGTTGCGGCGGGAAGGCTGTTTTTTGGGAGTTTCTCCCTTTGAGGCGTTTTCTGAGAATACGGAGCCGTCAATTTATAGAAGGATCCCAAGAAGAGGATTCTGCAATCCAAGCAAAAGCAAAAGGTACCCAAAAAGATACCATCATTTGAAACACTGCCCATAGCTAAGGAAACACATATTGTGGTTCGAACAGATAAGGAGTTCGGGCTAAAGGGCTTTTCCTCTGCCCAAGACCTCCAAGCCACTGAGCGCACTAACCCTAAACTTAAACCCACCCGAAACTAAAATGCTGATCCCAACGCTCTTCGTTGAACCCCAGGAAGTTGGACAACCGCAAAGCCAACTACACCCAAGCGAAGAAAGACATCTACCTTGGGCTGAAGTGAACTACTCCGCTGCTAGATACATGAACCCATTTGGGCTCGGAGTCTTCCCGAGAGACAAACGTCAGACTTTCAGTTCTCCTGGGGTCCGGAGCGGGCCCTTATTCCCTTTTGGGGGTGTGGCGGTTCCCTTATGAGCCCCTTATAAAACCAAAAGGGCACCCTTTTCATTCCTATAGGTTACTCTTGGTGAGTCTAGTCTCTTGCGCTTGCCACCTTGTGCGACCCTAAACCCTAAACCCTAAACCCTAAACCCTAAACCCCAACTTCGTGAGAGTCTTAGAGCTGACTGCGAAGCAAAAGCTTATTTGGAAAGAGGGATTGTAATAGGGGGTACTATAATCCCTATTAAGGGCTGTTAGTATACGGGGGGACATCCCAACTCCCTCCAACAAACCCTAAACCCTAAACCCTAAACCCTAAACCCTAAACCCTAAACCCTAAACCCTAAACCCTAAACCAAGAAAAGGTCCGACGAGACTGTGAAGCTCCTTTACGTGGATGGCGGCTTTCGGCGCCTCAGCGTGGCCGAGCTGGAGATGCTGATGCTGGAGGATTCCCTCGAGGGGGCCTTAGGATTTGGGGTCTTAGGGGTTAGGGTTTAGGGTTTAGGGTTGAGGGTTTATGGTTCTGACTTTTAGGGTTTAGGGTTTAGGGTTTAGGGTTTAGGGTTTAGCTTAGGGCAGTTTAGGGTTTAGGGCTTACCTAGCAGGTCTAGGGGAACTGAACCGAACGTCTGGACGGAAAAGTCAGGATGGATGTCTCTACTCGCCCAACTGCCTCACGTCATCCACCGGGCATGGACACTTGTCAAAGTCCACTTGCCAGCTCCCCCCCCCCCCCCCCCCCCCCCAAAGAGTTCTTCTGTCCACATTTGTGTGTTAGAACCTGACAGAAGAGGAAAACATGTGGCTAGACGCTTGTTGAAGTTGGCTTGCTGAGAATTTGGGTCGTCCAGGCTTTGGACAAAGAACAAAGCTCGGTTATTTTCGGCTGAAAAGTACCAACGCTCACAATGCTCACGAGGTCCCGTGCATTTTCCGTGTGAATGCCCACGAAGTCATTCAATAAATACTTGGATAAACCTATACAAATAGCCGGGGTCGTTAGTTAATGATTTACTTTGAAGGTTCGCGAGACGTAGAGTATGAGAGGATGAGAAGTCCAGGTGCCTGACTGATGGGGGGGGTGACCCGGAATCGTGATATTCCTTTGTTTTCTTTCTTTGGCCTACCTACAGACCTATCTTACACAAAGGCGCGGGCAATAGAAGTAACTGCCGCTAGGCTGGTCGCGTTGAGGTACATAATATACCCCCAGGGACTCGAAAGGCCTTTTTGGGTTTAGGGTTTAGGGTTTAGGGTTTAGGGTTTAGGACCCTAAACCCTAAACCCTAAACCCTAAACCCCTCAACCCTTTGAGGCTTGTCTGGGACATGTTGAGAACAGCGAGGCAAGTGCAAGAGGTTTAGAGGCCTAGGTTTCGTGCCAAGGAGTAGGGCGAAGAAGTATGGTAACTATACCTATAACCTTATTCAGGGTGCTTGTAACACACTTATAGCTACCCATGAACCTCCAAGTAACCTTGTGAAGTACATTTCTCACTATCTTTCGCCATCTTCGAGAGCTCCTCGAACCTGTTTTGACAAGCAGGGTTTAGGGTTTAGGGTTTATGGCTTAGGGTTTAGGTTTGCAACGCCTTGGGGACGTGTTTTTTTTGTTTTTCACCCCTTTTTTGCCGGGGAGAGGCAGGCTCACGTACAAGGCTGAACTACTTTACTACTATTTGCTTAAGAACACCCAAAAGAGCAAAGAGGATTCTCCCTCATAAGGACAATCTAGGGTTATATCTATATATATATATATGTATATGTTTATATATTGTTGTTGTTGCTTTTTGACTTTTTGTGGGGTTTCTTAAGCAAGTACTAGCTTAGGGGTTTGTGCAAGGCGCCCGAGCTTGGGGTTGAACTTCGCCCCATTTGAAGATTGCCCTCTATTTGGGCTTTCTCGAATCGCAGACCGCAAAGGCTGTCCTTCAAAGTTAAGCCCCACAAGTGCTGAACACTGCAACCCCAAAAGCCCGCAAGCCCTAAAGCTTCAACCCTAAACCCTAAACTCGAAGATCCGAAAGCCCTCAACCTCTGAACACCAGGACGTAGACTCGGAGGGCTGGGAGAAGTGGCGCGTGGCCCGCCTTGGAAGGGCTCAGCCGCGTTAGTCGGATCCGCAGAGTTTGGGGTTAAGAGGGCTTAAGAGTTCTTCTTAAGTGGGCTTCGATTTGAGAGGGTTTAGGACGTAGGAGAGATTAGGGTTCAGGGCTTACGAGGAAGAGGGCTTCGGTTTAAGAGGGTTTAGAGTTTAGGGTTTAGGGGTGTAGCTGTTAAGGATTTAGGGTTTAAGAGGGCTGCAGAGGTTTCAAGAGCTCCACTGTATCCGGCTATACTGCCAATTCTACAGATGGTAGCCATACTCAGAAATATTTTGGACAGAATAGATTGAAAGATTCCGGATTCCGGACAGTAGTATTGATTGAGAACTGCGACTGGCAACTATGCTGGTGCATGAAAATAGGAAGAGACAATGAGTCGTTTGAAAACCAACATTGCAGCAAGCCTTGCAGGAGAAACACCACGAAATGCCTGAGGCACACATGCGATTCGTAGACTTCTTGTGTGGTAATCAGTTGTACGTCAAGTCGCATGTGCCCTAAACCCTAAACCCTAAACCCTAAACCCTAAACCGTCTACGTTTACGGTTATTCCGCTCCTATTCTTGCCAATTATAGAACAGGCCGAGCCGGGCTTCAGGCTTCAGTCCTCCGGTTCAGGAGTTTAGGGGAATTTGGGGTGGTTTTAGGTTTTAGGGTTTAGGGTTTGGGGTTTCGGGTTTAGGATTTAGGGGTTAGGGTCTGGGGTTTGGGGTTTAGGGTTTAGGGTTTGGTCTTTTCGGTTTATGAGCTGGGCTCTTGACCTTTCTGGACTTTGCATGCTCACCCGGAAGGCGCCAGAAGACGCGGAGTGGACCCGGACACCCCTAAGACTGCCATTTGCTTAAGTACACAAAAAAATGAAAAGCAACATTCCCCATATTACCCTTATAAGGAAGAATATTTTGATTTTTTTTTTGATTTTTTTTTTTTTTTTTTTTTTTTTTTGGGGGGGGGGGGGTTCTTAAGCAAATAGTAGAAGACCTGAAGCCACACGCTTCAAGGTGGGGCAGTACATCTACCTGGCAGGCGGCTTGGGTGCTGGCTTGGCGCGCAGGGCTTGAGGATTCGGTTTCGGTCCGGTGGCGCGGTTTGGCTTGAGTCGCGATTGTAAACTTACACTTATTAATGTAGAAAGTAATAGTAATGATGTTGGTTGGTGGTTATATATATATATATGTATATATGTATATATATATATATATATATTATTTTTTATTGTGGTAATATTGATGGTGTATACAAGACCTGCGCGCTCGATTTGTTTGGCTGTAGTGAGCCTCTGCTGCGCCGCTGAGTACACCAGAGTCGGTACTGCTGAAAAGGTGAAACCACCCAAACATGTGTTTGCGAGTTTCCAGGTGCTTTCGAACCCCCCCTCTCCCAAACTCTACACCCTAAAACCTAAACCTTGAACCCTAAACCTTAAACCCCCTAGAGGTTCCGGCAAGTGGTGGTCTGGAAGCTCCTCGGCCAATCAGGTCGCTCGTGGTGGTCCAAGGGGGGAAGGCGTTTAAACTCATATAGATGGCGTTGATCGTGAGTCCTCCTTGCAAACCCTCAAGCCTCCCGAAACCCTAAACCCTAAGCCCTAAACCTAAACCCTGTTCTGCTGACCATGCGGAGCCGCTCTCCTTGCTAGGGGTTGATATCACGTCCACCTCAGGAAGCTATGGTGCGACCATCGTGGACATCAGAGATATGGATTCAACCGTGAAGGCGACCGCTTAATTCTGCACGCAAGGCTGAGACTGTTGAGTTTCAGAATTCCACGTGAGCTTCCTGCGGGCATGCTTTTTTTTTTCGTTCCCGCAGTTCTTCTAAACAATTAAAAACCTTACCTTCGCCCTTCAAAGCAGAATTTTGTTTTACACTTTTTGCTTGGGGGAAAGGGGGCGGGGACGGGGAGAATATCTGGGGCTTCTCATATTAACAGTTATGCAAGAATTGACCAGGAACAGAGTGGGCCCTCGTTCCCTTCTGTAGGGTATACCCCGTTTAAGGGCCCATACTCAGGGAACATGTAACTCCCCTTACGTAATCGATGAATCAGGGATCACGTTCTTACTGTTTTTGGGCTCCTGGGCTCCTGCACTTGGAGGTTCAGGGTACTTATAACCCCAAGTATAACTGCACTCATAAGCTTCCGAAGTCCTCCAAAGTAGGTTGTAAGTAGACTTATCATTGGGGTTATACATGCCCACGATCCTCCAAGTAGTGGGTTCGTGGGGAGCACGGGAGTTTCGAGTTTTTTTTTTGAGGGTTTGTTATTGGGTTTGCAGGCTTTGCGATGTTTACAGGGTTTATAGGGTTTTACAGGGCTTACATTTTTTAGAAGGGTTTAGGGTTTAGGGTTAGGGTTTAGGGTTTCGGGTTTAGGGTTTAGGGTCGCGCTTATAGGTGTATAGATTTTGGCTTGCAAATTGGAGGTTTGAACTCTCTGGTCCGAGGTACAACTCCTAGATAAACACCCTAAACCCTAAACCCTAAACCCTAAACCCTAAACCCAGAGGTGCAGTTCAGCACTGGGGGCTTCAAGCGTCTCCCCATGGAAGACTTCAAGAAGCTGGTCACGGAGCCGCCCTCCATGCCTCTTGGTAAGTTTAGGGTTTAGGGTTTAGGGTTTAGGGTTTAGGGGTTTAGGGGTTTAGGGGTTTAGGGGTTTAGGGGTTTAGGGGTTTAGGGGTTTAGGGGTTTAGGGGTTTAGGGGTTTAGGGGTTTAGGGGTTTAGGGGTTTAGGGGTTTAGGGGTTTAGGTGTTTAGGGGTTTAGGGGTTTAGGGGTTTAGGGGTTTAGGGGTTTAGGGGTTTAGGGGTTTAGGGGTTTAGGGGTTTAGGGGTTTAGGGTTTAGGGTTCTCTTGGCATAAGACACTACTTGGGCCCTAAGAAGGGTTTTGAAAGGGCTTCAAGTGGTTCAAGCCCTAAACTCTAAACCCTAAACCCTAAACCCTAAACCCTAAACCCTAAACCCTAAACCCTAAACCCTAAACCTTTGGGGTTTCACGCTGGCGCCCGATGTTCGCTCTTCGGATTATGGTGTTGCAGAAGCCCTAACACCCTGAACCTATATGCTTGAACAGGCATGTGAGGTGGCTTGGCATGGCTGGGGTGGAGCATAGGCTGAGCGAGCCATTGGCGCATTGCACTCCCAGCGAGAGGCTGCATAAATGCAATTAAACAGACATACATAAACGTCTACTTCGGTATATATAGGGACTCTACAAGGTATATATCTATATACATATTTGTACGGGCTATGTGTTTTTTTTTCATGTTTTTACTTGCCTTTATCGGGTATAGAGACCCTTGTTTACACACATCGTGGTTGCCACGTGTAGCAAGAAACCTTCCGGAATCTCAGCCTCAAGCCGGCAAGCTATGATTTCCCCAAAAGTGATGCTCGAGCAATATGGTTCAAGCATGTTCCCACGACTCAGACCGCCCTTTCAACCGGTGAGTTTCTTGCGCTTCATTCTGTACAGGAACATGCGAGCCACCCTAAACACTTAACCCTAAAACCCTAAGCCCGCAAGCCAAGGATGGAGGACAGCTCCCTGCACTTCCGGAAACATCAGTGGCCTGAGTAGCTGAATGAGTACACTTTACGCTCGTTGGGGTACTATAACCCCCTATAGAACTGAAAGTGTACACTTGTTGGGGCTTGTGAACTCAGCAACTAAGGTGGCGGGCTTTGTGACAAGGGCCTGTAGGGCTTTGGCTCAATTCGGTTCTGGCTCCGAAGGATTAGGGTAGTTCACTGGACCTTCGGCCAGCCTTACTCCCTTCTAAACCCTAAACCCGAAACCCGAAACCCGAATCCCGCAAACCTAAACCCGAAACCCTAAACCCTAAACCCCAAACCCTAAACCCTAAACCCTAAACCCTAAACCCTAAACCCTAAACCTAAACCCTTCTTATTCTTTGGTTGCTGGGTACCGAGTAGTCACTTCCGCAGGAGTGGCAGACGTCTAGCCCGGTGGATCATATCTCCGAGCCGGATCCTGCCCAGGGCTCGGGTCACTTGAGGGTTTTGGGTTTAGGGTTTTGGGTTTTGGGTTTAGGTTTTCTTGGTTTATGTTTTGCATTTAATCTGAATCAGGCGTTTCGGAAGGGGACTGAACCCCTAAACCCTAAACCTCTGAAACCCCAAAACCCCACAACCCTAAACCCTACATCCCTAAACCCTAATTTTGAATATGGTGGCTGCAGGGTTGAGCCCACGTCCCGAAGAGCCCCCAGCAGGCTCAGAAGCCGTCTCTGCCAGTTCGGGTCGAGGATTTAGGGTTTAGGGTAATTAAGTTTACGGTTAAGGGATTGGGGTTTCGGGCTTAGGGTTTGGGGTTTAGGGTTCAGGTTTGGGTTTAGGGTTGGGGTTTAGGGTTTAAGTTTAGGGTTTAGGGCATGGGGCCGTTCACCCGTCAGTCCTTTTGGCAAGCCCAGGCCATCATGCTGGCGATGAGGCACGCCAGCCTTCTGGGTGTTTTGTGGGGCGCATGGCAGTACCGAACTGAATATGGTTTAGGGGGTTTAGGGGTTTCGGGTTTAGGGTTTAGGGTTTAGGCACCAGGTAGCCAGGTACAGCAGTGGTATTCTTTAACGTTGTGGTGTCCAGTGTGAGTTCGGGACTCTTGCGTGATGACTTCATGAACTTCCATTGCTCGACGCCCCCTGCTGCAGTTTGCGCAAGCCAAGTGACATGCCACTCTTTCTATAATTTTCCCGGAGGCCCAGTAGTACCCTTGTTCCGTTTCTCAGGTTTAGGACCATTTCTGATTTTGAAATCCGGAACCCTAAACCCTTAAACCCTTAGCCCCTAAGCCCCTAAGCCCCTAAGCCCTAAACCCCTAAACCCTACCAAGCCATAAAGCGTGCCCTTTTGTTCTTAGGTTAGCTTCAGCCGACACTCAAGTGAACATTGCGGGGGGGGGGGGGGGGGGGAGGCAACATTCCCCAAAGTGCCACAACAGTTTATAATTCTTCTGATAGAAACGCCCCAAAAGGCTACCCCAAAACTTACCCCAAAAAAGGCCGATAGTAACCAAAAGGATGCCCCTGAACCCTAAACTAAACCCTGAACGTGCCGCAGAAACCACAAAAGGATACCCTTGTTGTCGGAAGCCACGCAAGAATTGGCACGCAGGCCCCCTGTCGCCAGGTTCAGGGTGGCCTGCTGGCCTCAAGCATCGCAACTCACTTTCGGTTGTGGGCTCAGGGCTTGTAGGGTGTATGGCTTTGTTAGTGGGAGTTAAAGAGTTTAGGGTTTAGGGTTTAGGGGGGTTTAGGGTTTAGGGTTTAGGGTTAGGGTTTAGGGTTTAGCGTGGCCGAAGCCCTCCAAGCCAAGAAGCGCAGGAGCCGCAAGGACGCGGAGGCAGAGCCAGAAGCTGTGCCGGAGCCCAAGACATTCGTGGCGGAGCCGCACGGACCCCACCCTAAATTGTGCGATATGCACATCTATATCTATATATATATATATCGATATAGATATAGATATACATACACTATATGTGCAAGACATGTATGTATATATTTAATGTTTTATTATGTGCTAGCACAAATATACACGCACACATAAATCAATTAATTTATAATTCAATAACTATATGTATATGTACATGTATAATCTTGTTGTCTATTAAAGGACAGCCCTAACCCTGAAGCCCGTCTGACCTTGTTTCTTCTGCACGGCACCGCAGCTGAGTTAACTGCGCCTCAGCTCCAGCGACTGGAAGCAAACAAGGCTCTCCAAGCCCCAAACTCAAAGTTTTGAACCCGAATCGGTTTAGGGTTTAGGGTTTAGGATTTAGGGCTTAGGGCTTAGGGTTTAGGGTTTAGGGTTTGTTAGGGTGTAGGGTTAATCAGGGTCCAGCAGAAGCTCAGAAGCTCTGAGCAGCCCTGCATCCTTGTAAGCCTACATCCTTGAATTTTGGCGGGATGCTTGGGCTCTCTGAGCTCAGCTTCATGCTGAGGTCCACCTACAGAGTAGCTTGGCTTCGTTTCGGTTTAGGGTTCGAGAAGGGTTCTTCGGGCATGCTAACGTTCAGGTTGGCAATGATTATGATCTAAATTCCGATGTACTCCCCCGTATGATGAGATGAAAAACCAAAGAACAGGCCCATTGGAATTCAATGGGCGCCTCACAATTAACCCTAAATCCTCAACCCTAAGCTGAATCAAGCTTCGGGCTTCAAGGCGTAGGTTGGGTTCTTGGAAGACGGGATCCCCCAAAACTTAACAGAGCAAACTATGGTCTTTGCGCCCACAAGCCCGACTTCAAGTTCTTAAGCAGCCTTTGGTTACAGACCAGAGAGCTGAACAACGACACCTTTAAATAATAAGAATTGAAGTTAAAATCCTTGAAAAGTGCTGAAACCTGCGTTTTAGAAACTACATCCATGTGAAGGCAGCTGCCACCGCAAGCCCTAAACCCTAAGCTCGATAAACCGGGGCCGCATGACCTGTTTTCGGGAGGTGTCAGGCTTCATGCGCATTCCAACACGGAAGCCGGTGGATCCCGAAGCAGCCAAAAACCCGAATTCCCTGGGCTCTAAAATCCCAAGCCTAAACCCTAAACCCTACCCTCAACCCTCAGATTAGAGACAGACCGAGTGAGTCCCTAAACCCTACACACGTAAGAAGCTTGAAGCTCTCCCTAAGGAACAGGCGAACCAGCTGAGAGCGGCCCTCAAGGAGGCAACGCCTGGGAGAGAAGCCCGCAACCCTACTCCCTGGTTTTAGGGTTTAGGTTTAGGGTTTAGGCTTTAGGGTTTAGGGTTGACTGGGATCAAAAAAGGTTTAGGGTTTAGGGCTTAGGGTCCACTTGCTAGTCTTTGAGCCCAGTTGCACAAAAAGGGTCCGCCTGCACAAAAATCCAAACCCCAAACCCGCTCCCGCGCACGTCGATACATCTTTTGTTCTCAGCAGCATGTGAAAGCTGGGCTGATTGTAATCTCTACTGGTATGTAAAGCATGTCGCGTGTCTCTATCATGTCACGGTGCGCCAGTGGCTTCAATGGTGCGATGTGACATGTTCTGCACCCTACTTGGTGAACTATGCCGACCCACACCATCCGCCACCTAAGAAACATGCCCTATATAATCCCTATATTGTAAACCATATATATATATATATACATACATACCTATCGTGCAGTCTAATCAGCTGGTTGCCCGGACTTTGTCGCGGTGTGGTCCGCGAAGTCAGGGCAGGCTCGTGTCGAGGCTTATCCGGCCCATAAACCTCATTGACCCCCTCCACCTAGTATTGAAACTCCCTTAACACCTTTGCAGAAATTATTCCCCGTATTTGCCTATCACCTACATATACGTATGTTTTTTTAGACCCTACAGTTTGAGCATGTACTTGGGGGGTTTCAACAGGGGAACATCAAACCCTAAACCAAAATTCTCCGTTGGTGCCCATGACTTGAGGCGGTCGAGAAGGCCGAGTATCTGAAAGCGCACTGCCACAGAGCTGAAATGGCAATTCAATGGGGGGCTCGGGTGGCGAACCTGCTAAACCCGAAACCCTAAGCCCGAAACCCTAAACCCGAAACCCTAAACATGTGAAAATGTGCAGGTGACGTGAAGGCTCGCCCTGGTACTGCGGTGCAGGGAA